CCCCAAAACCCCAAAACCCCAAAACCCCAAAACCCCAAAACCCCAAGATCAAAGAAAAGCTCTAATATATTAAAAATAAATATTAAATATGAATCAGTGCTATTCAGGAACCAAAATTTATTTTAGAAAATTCTTCTTACCTATTTTGATCATACTCTGTTACATCACTCGTGTGAAGGCCCAGCTAGATGGTTACTGGCGGATGAGTGTCAGAGAAAGAGCAGAAGCACTTGGCTTTGAATATGAGGAATATCAGGTCACCACTGAGGATGGTTACATCTTGTCTCTGATGAGAATTCCAAATGGACCTGAAAGTCCATCAGATACCACAAACAAAGAACCAATCCTATTGTCTCACCCTGCTTTTCAAGCGGGTGAGTCATTTACAAGACTTGGAGGAGTTTACTCTCCAGCATTCTATCTTGCCAACCAAGGAAAGGATGTGTGGCTGTATAACCTGCGTGGAAACACTTACAGCCGGCAGCATGTTAGCTTGAATCCATCTATTGATGATGAATATTGGGAATTCTATATTGATACAGTAAGATTTGATTATATGGCTTGTGTAGAATTTATACTTGAGACTACCGAATATTCTCAAATAGCCCTCTTAGGCCATTCTCTTGGAGGAGCAACATTAGCAACTGCTCTAGCACTTGAGCAAGAATATTTTGGGCCAAGAACATCTCTAACTATTTTGATTACACCAGCTTTGATGATGGCTCATACCAATGCTCCAGTATATGCTGCAATGGGTGCTTGTCCATGGATCCTTGAAAATATGAGGAATTTAGGAGTAAATTATTTCAGTGAAAGCAACAATATAGTCAGATGGGTCTTATACCAATCTTGACTTTTGATTCACCCTCTATGTACTGGGCTTACAGCTTTGCTGACTGATGAAGAAAATCCATCTGCTCTTGATAATAACTCAATGGATTTCTTTCTGGCAAGGATTTCTAATGGAATCGGAATCAGACTGTTGGAGCACTTATTTCAGAGCGTTAGAACATCACAGTTCACTTATTTTGATTTAGGTATTGAGGAGAATCTTGAAGCGTATGGAACAGAACTTCCTCCTCAAATTCCTTTAGAGAATATTAACACTCCACTAGCTCTTATGTGGGGTGAATTTGATGGCTCTATTACTCAACAAGATGCACAATGGATTAGAAGCAGGCTGGAAAACAATATTATCTTTGATAATATATATGAAGAGTAAGTAATTGCATGAATTTGTATTAAAACTTCAAAGAAATGCCAAATTTCTGGTATAAAAATTGCATATAAAGAGAACTTTTCACTTTCCTAAATTTGCTCAATTCTCCCTATAGCCAAACACATTTATCATTTTTGGTTGGCAACAATATCGAAGAATATCTCGACGACATAATCCAATTAATGTCAGAATACCAAACTCCAAACCCTAACACTTAAATCCCCCTAAAAATCACACTTTCCAAACTTTCAACTCCAAAAATCCCTAACGGGGTTTTGGGGTTTTGGGGTTTTGGGG